CACTTACCTAATGCATGAGATTGTGAAATAATAACTGGTTTCTTTTTAATATTACAATGATGAGAAAGGTCTCCATAGCAACGAACTGAAAATCCTGAACATGTGACACTTCAAAGGCCATGGGTACTGCTGGGGCCACCCTTTCAAGATCAAAGTGTCAGCTCTCTATACACTCCCAAGGGCGCCAAGCTTGCTGGGACACATCTCCAACGCTCTGGGACAGACAGGAAGGAGCCGCAACTGTGTGAAAGCTGAGAGTTACGAAGGGCCTGGGTCAATAAAGAAAGAGAATCTCCAAATATTGACATTGCAAAACCAGCTCTCCCCTGGTCTGGAAAACAGCAGCTGAGCTGGCTGGCCTCCCTTCGGTGCTCGCCCAGCCTCTCCAGGCGGAAGTTAGCCTTCCCTTCTGCTGATGGGCGCCTGAGAACCCCAGCTCTCCCCTGATCCAGGGTCGCTGGCCTTTCCTGGTTGCCTACCTAAGGAGAAATGGGCACTGCCTCTTTGCTTCCCGAAGGGGATCCTAGCGGAGAAAGCAGAGCTTGTAAAGCAGGTGGTTTTGACTTTAACACCCGGGCCCAGTCCTCCCAACCGCACAGCGACTCCCGGAAACAGGAGAAACAGCCCAGGCTGATGTGATCTCCTCCAGCAACTCCCCTGGCTACCAGGAAGGGCATTTTGAGACTGAAGACATCCTCTCCTTCTACCCCTACCACGTCTTCCCTCTTTCAAGATTTCTTTGCATAACTGGTTTTAAGCTCTGGGAAAGCCCAGTCCTTGCTGCCCGAGAAGGCGAGCCCTCTGGCCCAGAGCAGCCCCAGGGGCAGGCCCCCAAGGCGCCAGCCCGGGAGGCACAGAACTGGGGCGGCACCGGCTGTCTCTGCTCTATGACTGCCATTTGCTGGGGCCGCCCGGTGACCTGCTGTTTCAGTTCTATCCGCCCTGCCCCGGAGAAACCCACTCCAGCCCGCTGCTCGCCCGCCCGCAGGGTTGATTTCCGCACTGGCTGGAGACGGCAGCATTTCTAGATGACAGTTTAAAACACGAGAAATGATGAAATTGCCCAGGGGTGGCACAGAGAGTGAGAGGAGGATGGAGGGCCAGCCCTGGAGGCCACAGACATTTCAGGGGCACATGGAGGAAGAGAATCATTGAGAAAAACCGTGTTGTTTCCTATTGCTGCTATAATACATCCCACAGCTTAGTGGCCTCAAACAATGCAAATTGGTCCTCTGACAGTTCCGGAGGCCACACACATCCTTTGGCTCATGGTCCCCTCCCCCCACCTTCAAGGCCAGCAGAGTAGCATCTTCCATCTCTTTCTCTCTATCCCTCCGCTTCCGTCATCACGCCACCTTCTGTCTGACCCCGATCCTCTGGCCTCCCTCTTATAAAGACCCTGTGATCACATCGGCCCGCCTGGAGAATCCAGGGTAATTTCCCATCGCAAGATCCTGAACTTGGCCGAAACCGGTTTGGCTCAGTGGATAGAGCGTCGGCCTGCGGACTGAAAGGTCCCGGGTTCGATTCCGGTCAAGGTCACATACCTGGGTTGCGGGCACATCCCCAGTGGGAGATGTGCAGGAGGCAGCTGATCGATGTTTCTATCTCTCTATCTCTCTCCCTTCCTCTCTGTGAAAAATCAATAAAATATATTTAAAAAAAAAAAAAAAGATCCTGAACTTGATCATCTCAGCAAAATCCTTTTTATGATATAAGGTAATTTTCACAGGTTCCAGGGATGAGAACACCTACATCCTTGGGGGACCATTCCTCAGCCCAGCTCAGAAACGAAGAAGGATGCACCAGGCGGGGAGAGCCAGAGTGACAGGGCCAGGAAGTCAGGGGAGTAGGAAGAAGGTGCAGGCACCAGGAGAAATGCCACCAAAGCTCAAACCTCAGCTGAAAGATGAGTGGGGAATGGTTATGGGCATGGTTTCACCAATGGCTAGCTGCACGGACATGTGCTTTTCCACAGAGCGACCCCAAGTCACCACCCTAACCTGGGATTGCACTCGGCATCCATGAAAGGGGGACCCAGACACCGCCACAGGGTCACCCCCAGCACCCCCACAAAGTAACACGGCCAGCGGCTTTAACTGCATCCAATCAAACCGTCAGATCTAATTCCAGTTCGAAGGTCGTAAAGCAGCCAGGAGAGCAGCATGAATGACACCACAAGGAAGTAAGAGACACATCAGAATGTGGGGCGTCCCACAAAGCACCTGGCCGGGTCTCTTCAAAGGGTCAATGTCATGAGAAACAAAGAGGGGCAGGACAGGGGTTGGGACTGACTGAGAGAGATGAGAGACAGAGAACAAAGTAAATGCACGATCTTTATTGAATCCTGAACTGAAAGACAGCAAGACAAGACAATTTTGGGACTATTAGGAAAATTTGAATTGGGACTAAATTTCTTTTAAAATCAGGAATGATAGTTTTTCAGGTGAGCTAAAGGTATTCTGTGGCTATGTAGAAAACGTTGTGGGTTTTTTTTTCTTGTTTGTTTACATATTTTTATACTGGAAGAGAATTGAACTTATGTTTGGACACAGGGAAGGAACCAGAGAAAGCAAAATAGTGGAGACATGGAGAGAGAAATAATGACTATAGAAAGAAAGGAAGAAAGGAGGAGGGGAGGAACCCTGCGCAGGTTTAAGACTGCAGTGGGTCAGTGGTCCCCAAAACTGCTGCTAGTGCCACAAGAGAAACTAAAACATAGACTCCCAGGTGCCCCCTCCACAGCGCTGATGCGTAGGTGTGGCTGAGCCCCGAATCCGTAGGTTTCCCAAGCTGTGCAGGGGCCTCTGTCATTGGCCCGGTGTGACCCTGAAGGGGCGGACGCTGAGGACCGGCTCTGCAGAAGGATTCAGGCAGCAAAACCAGGTCTGAGGGAGGAGTGGGAGCAGAGGCGACTCCGGGTGAGCCTGACCACGGGGAGGCCGGGCTCCAGGGAGAGGACCCCACACTGGGTGGGGCCCGGTGAGAAGAGAACACACGCCACAGGGCTGAATAAATCACCATCTAAATCCAGTGCCCCAGCTGTGCGAGCACAGATGAGCTCTTTGACTGCTTTGGGCCTCCGTTTCCGGGCAGAAATCCCAGCAAAACGCGGGTGGTAGATGAGCTCAGGTTTTTCTTTTCTCTCTCTCCCCCCCCCCCCCCCCCTTTGTCTTTCTTTCAACTTTCGGGCAGCAAAACCCTTTACCCGAGTGAAAAGTTGCAAGCTTCCGTAGAGTCCCAGACCTGCTCCTGCAGCCCCCCTCCCCCCACAAAGCCTCGAATCCCCGTGAACACCAGTTGAAACGCAGGCTCGACTCTAAGATTATATCAGGCGCTAGCATGCCGGCAGCTCTAACATGATGGGGAGAAAAAGAATGCTCTTCTTGGGAAGGTCCGAGAAGCCTCCGACTTAGAGAGCTGGAAAGAGCATCTGAGGAGAGACAGCAGCAAAGGCTGCCTCCAAAGCTGGACTCTGAGTCTATCGTGATTATTGACTTAACTTACTTAGAGCTGCTTGTCCCTACATCATCCTCACTGTCTGCAGTACAGTGACCATTAGTTGACTCGCTGTCTTGCTGATGAAATGATTCACTGTGATGGAGAATCGAGGAATTTGCAGGGCCCTGAATTCTCAGGCTGTAGCCTACAAAACGCCCACCCAGGGCTAGGATTCGCTGTGGGTGCAGCCACAGCTGCTGGCCACCTGCTTCTGTGTCCCCCAGGGGGACACGCCCTCTGGATGACTGGTTTATTTACATTCAGATGTTCTCTTCTCGACTATAGTTATCTGAAACAGGACCAGGGAAACCGTATCTGAAGCTGTTGCCAGGGCAACCTGACAAAAGACTTCACCCTCGGCTACTGTCCATGTCATCTGTCAAAGGCGGCTGGCTCACAGAGCGAAGAGAAGGGCACAGGTTGTGACTTTTGGTAAAAAAGGAAAACTGGAAGATTATTTTCTGGTTAAATCAACTTACATAGAACAGGAAAGCAGCTGTTCTCTGTGCAATAAAAATTCAGAAAAGGCAGGAGGGGAGTGCTAAGAAGGCAATCCTTACACATTTCTGTGTGAAATCTGTAAAATCGTTGCATTATCAGAGCTTTTAACACCAGGCTTCCTAAAGACCTGGAGCTGGGAGTTTGCCCTGAAGAGGGAAGAGGAGAGAGGGCAAGACATTGAAGAAAGCAACCGTAGGGATAGACACACATACGAAGCTGGCGGTTCTCGACACACCTAATGGCTCGTCTCTCCCTGAGCCATAACCGCTCACGACAGCAGTCACCGTGCGGAGGCCAGCCTTGCAGAGCCTGGACCATCCAGCCTGCTCATCGTATCCGTGAAAATACCGAGGCCCACAGATAACTCTCTCCAGGTCGCCCAGCCAGGTAAGGGCAGAACTAAGCCAGAAGCCCTGATTCCTGCTTCCCCGGGAGGTCTCCCCATATCTGGCACCTCTGTCCCGTGGATGTCAGTTTATTCTAGTTTTGAAAGAGGCATGACCTGGACTAGATTTCAAAGCATGTCCCATGATGCCACGGGCTGGGCTGTGAGGGTGCCAGGCACCCCTCCCATCCCTTTCCATCTATTTTTATATTTCTGAGGGCCCCACTTAAAGTTCTTTAAGGGGAAAATCTATTGCTAAAAAAAGTTCGAAGATCATCAGTCTAAAGATAAATACATTAGATAATGGTGATGGTTGCACAGCCTTGTGACTATACTAAAACCACTGAATCATATGCTTTAATGTGGTGAATTTTATTTTTTTAAATTTATTGTATCTATGACATAGTTATATAAATTATAATATAAATCATATCTTTTTAGTCAAATAAAAAACTAAACATGCCTGTATTCACACAAAGGGGAACGTTAAGACAAGCACTGAGCAGTACTTAGGGTCAGAGAGCAAATAGGGATGGATCCTGACGCTGACCCAGAGGTCCCACCCTCCGCCACCCCCACTCCCACCTCCAGAGCCCCTGAGGCAGCTCCTTACCGAGTTGGTGCCCAGGATCTGCAGGTTGGGCTTCTCTGACTCCAGCAGCTTGGCCACCATCTTGAGGAAACTCTCCACGAAGAGGTTGATGCTCTGGCAGTGGCAGGCCATGAGCAGCTGGTCCAGCGCCTCCATAGCGATGCACACGTACCTGGGGAAAACAGCACCGATGCCATCCCCCTGCCCCACGTCCATTCCACCCGCACTGCCTGACGGGGGGCAAGCTAGATGGCCGCGCTGTGACTTCCTGGGCAGCATCGGGGTAATGAGGCTCTTCTCCAAGTTGTCAATGCCTGATGCCATTCCATCAAGTGCCCACTCCAGCCTGAGAATCAGAGCTGGAAGGAGGCCTGAAGGCCAACCTCTCAGCCCCACATCTTACGGTTGAAGAACATGGGGGCAGATGAAGTGTACCATTTCATGGGTAAACACACGCAAAAAAGGACAGGTGCCCAGAAGAGCAAATTCTGAACCAAGATCCAGTGAGATCAGAGAATTATGTGATCCAAGTCCAGGAGTGTCTGCTGAGCAGCCACTGAGGAAAAGCTCTGGCCTACTCGCTGCAGGGGGCGTAAGGATGAAGTAGTCCTTCATATGAAAGAGCCTAGAGTCCGATGATGAGATAAGTACCCAGCAATCTCCTCTAAAGGGAAAATACGAAATGCTACAAGAAAATCGTGTAAGGCATCCCATGAGGTTCCAAATAAGAAAAGAGATGGCTCTGCGGGGGAGGCAGTGAAGAACTTTATGAAGACAGTTTATGAAGAATCTGAGATGGGCCTGGGACCGTTGAGGAATATAAAATTAGCAAGTTTTGTGTTTGAGGATCTCCATTCTATGATGATCTACACAAACAATACGGTTGATGATACCACCATATTTGAGTGGCACCCTACCTCGGGGACATTTTGACCTCATGGAGGATAAGACAGCCACAGAATTAAAATTATTTCCACCTTAGGAAGAATATGGGTTGTGTCAGTTCCAACTCCCTCACTGGCTCAATTCTAAAGTCTAAAACCTGAGTGAATGCCTTCAGAACTAGGACTAGACAGCATCCAATGGTGAATAGCTTACAGTTCAATCAGCCCATCCTGTGTTTTGACAACCAGAGAAAAACTTCTTTATGTTTCAAGCAAATCCTAATAACTTCTATCCTTTACTCACAAGTCTACATTTAGGAGCAGCAAGAAGAGGACTGAACCTTTTCCTACCTGCCAGTCCTTCAACTGCTTGAAAACAACAGTCTCATTTTTCTTATTCTTCTCTTCTCCGTGCTAAAAATACGCAATCCTTCCAAAACCAGCCTTCACCGGACAACCCCCAGTCATCCCGGTGGCCTTGGTCTTCCTCAATGCCTCTCTTAAATCCCAAGAAAAATGCCAAGAGCCAAATTCCTCCTGAGAATGAGTGCATGTCTACGCTCACTCCAACACGTGTTCCATGATAGTGGCAAAACAAGCATATGGTCCGATAAAGCGCATGTTGGAAAGATACTTTTCCCACTTACAAGCCATTTGCATTCTAAAGGAAACAAGGTGGATGTTCACTTTTTGTAAAAGGCGATCTTTTCACTCCTAATGAGGAGGTTGCTGCAAGTGTGTCAGGAATTATGTTGTCTTAAACCTTTATAATTTTTTTTAAGAAGTTAAATTTCTGGGGCAGAATGCTAGATGTCACCCCTGGAATCTCTTTCCCCTTTTTCCATAGGAATTTAGAATTTTAGCTGAGTTTGTGGCTGCTCACTGGGAACACTTCCCAGCCTCTCTTGCTGCTAGGTGAGGCCGCATGACTAAAGCGTTGCCATGAAAATGAGGAGAAGTGAGGTGAGTGACGTCAGCATGACTTGCTTAAAGGACGGGATTGTCCTTCATGTCCTCTCTTTCCCTCCTTCTGCTGGTCCCACGTGGCAACAGCTGGGCACCCAGAGACAAAAGTCCCTGGATGACCTCACTGGGCACAGAGCCCACAGACCCCACCTGGAGAGAAAGGAAAACCACTTCCATGTGCTGGAGCCACTGTATTTTTGAGTCTCTCTGTTCCCTAAATAACATCAGCATCTGGTAATCACGTTGGGGAGGGCTTCAGAACCTGATGAGGCAAATAAGCGTGAGTCCTAAGCAATCCGAAGCAAACCAAGTGACTGCCTTCCCAGGAAAGAGAAGTAGGAGTTGAAACGATTCTATCCTTCCAGAGGGGAGGTCTTCACAAGCATCCATGGGCTCGGAGTGTGGGCCTTCTGCCTGTAGAGCCAAACCATGTGGAATTGGAAAGTACTCCCCCTACAGAGAAAATGCAGGGAAGGCAAGGTGAACGGAGAACCCCCAAATCTAACTGGGGTGCCCAAGAGTCAAGTGAATGCCTCTCAGTCAAAAAAGCAAGCAGCACAAGACCCATCTCAAAGATTGTGGGAAAGCTGTCACCACGGGCTTTTAATGTGTTAAAGCTGCCTGACACTCTCAAGTCAGGCTCATGTGCTCTATCTATAATAATAAAAGCGTAATATGCTAATTAGACCAGCGTCCTTCTGGACGTCCTTCCGGACAAAGCCGGGGCTGCAAGGGAAACCTAGGTCCCGGGTGCCAGAGGGAAGCCGGTGCCGGCAGTGGGGGAAAGGAAGGCCTACTCTTGCATGAATTTTGTGCATCAGGCTTCAAGTATATATAATAAAGGATGAATTCAAAGATCTGTTCTTTATGTGGCAAGCCAAATCATATCCATGTTTTAATGTTAGGCAAGTATTTAAAAATCCTTTACTAGCGAATCTTTGTCTTTTTATTTCTTTTCTTTTTTATTTTTGGTCAGTTGACTTTTAAACAATTTATTAAACTTATTTTTTAATTTAAGTATTGTTGGTACATAATCTCATATTGGTTATATTAGGTCCAGGTGTACAATATAGTGATTCGACATTTTTATACCTTACAATGTGATCGATCACCCAGCTAATTCTAGTAATCTTCTGTCATCGTGTAAACTTATCACAATATTATTGACTATATTCCCCTTCTCCTTTTTACCCATCCACCCCTCCCTCTCTTCTGGTAACCATCCCTCTAAAATTTTTAGTTATTGATTTGAGAGAGAGGGAGAAACATTGATTTGTTCCACTTATTTATGCATTCATTGGTTGATTCTTGGACGTATATGACTTGATGAGGGATCAAATCCGCAACTTTGGCATGTCAGGACAATATTCTAAATAACTGAGCTACCTGGCCAGGCCTGTTTTGTTTTGTTTTTAGATTCCACATATAAGTGAAGCCACATGATATTTATCTTTCACTGCCTGACTTATTTCACTTAGACCCATCCATGTTGTAACAAAAGGCAAGATTTCATTCTTTTTATTGATGCATAATATTCCAGTGTGTGTGTGTGTGTGTGTGTGTGTGATCACATTTTCTTCGTCCACTCACCTATCGATGGCCGCCTAGGTTGCTTCCGTATGTTGACTACTGTAGACAATGCTGCAATGAACAAGGGGGTGCATATACCTTTTTGAATTAGTGTTCTCATTTGTATACTCAGATTTGGGATTGCTGGGTTGAATGGTAGTTCTATTTTCAGTTTTTTGAGGAAACGCCATATGGTACTGTTTTCCATAGGGGCTACACCAATTGCAGTCCCACCAACAATGCCTGAGGGTTCCCTTTTCTCCACATCTTTGCCAACACATTATTTGTTGGTTTTTTTGATTAACAGCCTTTCTGGCTGGGGTGAGACGATATCTCATTGTGGTTGTAGGGGCTACACCAATTGCAGTCCCACCAACAATGCCTGAGGGTTCCCTTTTCTCCACATCTTTGCCAACACATTATTTGTTGGTTTTTTTGATTAACAGCCTTTCTGGCTGGGGTGAGACGATATCTCATTGTGGTTGTGATTTGCATTTTCCTGATGATTAGTGTCTTTAAACATCTTTATATGTCTGTTGGCTATCTGTATTTCTTCTTTGGAGTAGTGTCTTTTCATGTCCTCTGCCCATTTTTTTCAATTGGATTGTTCATTTTTTGTTGTTGAGTCATATGAGTTTCTTATATATTTTTGGTATCAACCCCTATATACCATTTGCAAATACACTGTCCCATTCAGTAGGTTGCCTTTTTGTTTTGTTGAAGGTTTCCTTTGCTATGCAGAAGGTTATTAGTTTGATGTGGTCCCACTTGTTTATTTTTTCTTTTGTTTCCCTTGCTCGAGGGGGTATTACCAAAAAGATTTTACTCAGACTGGTGTCAGATAAAGTTTACTTCCTATGTTTTCTTCTAGGAGTTTTGTGGTTCCAGGACTTACAATTAAATCTTTAAGCCATTTTGAGTTTATTTTTATATGTGGTATAAGAGAGTGGTCCAGTTTCATTTCTCTGCATGTATCTGCCCAATTTTCCCAACGCTACTTGTTGAAGAGACTGTCATTGCTCTAGTGTATATTACCTCCTTTGTCATAGATTAGTTGACTATATAATCAGGGGTTTATTTCTGAGTTCTCTATTCTAGTCCATTGATCTGTGTCTGTTTTTGTGCTAGTGCCATACTGTTTTGATTATTACAGCTTTGGAGTATAGTTTGAGATCAGGGAGTGTGATACCTCCAACTGTGTTCTTCTTTCTCAAGATTGCTTTGGCTCCTTGAGGTCCTCTGTGGTTCCATATAAATTTTAGGATTATTTCCAGCTCTGAGAAAAATAACATTAGCATTTTGATGGGAAATGCACTGACCAAAACGCAAAGCTCCATAATATGTCTTGTGGCAGCCACTTAATTTCATCTCTTGTGCGTCAAAACTGTCTTGCACATGAGTCAGCTTTGCAAACCCAAGCATATAAAGTAACAGCAGTCATGGCATCTTCTAAATGTTTTTTGTTATTTTTTTGAGACATTAGAAACCATTTCTTAGGTATCCTTGAGCTAACTCTTACACTGAGCAACCATAAGAAACACTGCCTCTCTACTCTGAAAATTTTCCTGTCCATGCTTATAAAATGTTTATTTCTTTTATCTCTGTGAACTGTCAACTATTATTAAATTGCATTTACTATTATTAGAATAAAATATTCTTAAATATTCCGAAATAGTCATCCCTGGGCACACTCACAAATGGATCAGGTCATGCTCTTATCTACAGAGTGTCTTTGAAATACAGAGGCAGCACTGGGTCTTTGAGCTCCTTCAGTGAACAAAGTCACCATTCTTCCCTGCTCCAAGGACTGGCCATTCCTGGCTCACTATAGCCTTGCCCTTGTCATTATAGCCTTGACCTTCAGAGGCCATCACAGTCACAGCCCAGGAAACCTGCTGTGCCTTGCGGGCCCGGTTCCAGCATGTTTCAGGTCCGCTGTGCGGGCCAGTGAAGCAGACTGAATCTTGCAGGGCTGGGGCCCTTCCAAAGGGGACAGACTCTCCCTACAGACAAACCTGGGCACCTTCTGCTAATCAAACGCGGCAGGTGGGAAATGGGGTGGGCGGCGTGGAATTCTCTTCTCTGATGAATCATCCCGGCGGCCTTCTGTATGAAGGGTTTCACCATTATTTGATAGAGTTTACATGAGGGGAAAGGAAGGGGTGGGGTGGGGTTTGGCAAGAGAAGAAACTAGAAGGCCTTCCAAACCCCAGAGCTTAGATTGTTGCTTTTCCTTTTCCTGTAAAAAAATTCCCCAAAAAGTCCTGATAAGAAAAAACCATCCTTTGCTATAAAAAAAAGAAAAATTGGCTACTGACCAGGAGTGGAAACTCTGAGGGAAAGTCCACATTATGGTAGAAGTGAAACTGAAAGTAACGAAGAACAGAGATTAAGGCCTACATCTGTGAACACACTTCTTCATTCCCCATCTTTGATCCCGATAGTAAGGATGGCAGGATTGTGACTATGAACTTGAACTTTGCAAAGAATCTTAGATGAGAAGTCAATGGGACCCTGGAACCCCCCAGTCCAATGCTGGCTGCCTGGGTCCTTTCTTACCATAACCTACACTCTCAATGGGAGCAGAGTACTGGCTTCTCAGGGTGATACCTGCTCAGCAGCACTAGGGTCAAACAGGCCGGTCCAAGCAGAGGTTTGATCTGGGCTTGGTATCCTGGAAGGTGTCCAGTGTAGCAACTGGTCTGGGAACCTGGGCTGGCCTGACCGGATCCTTGGAGCAGAATGGGGCAGGAAAGAGGTGCTGAGGGAGGTGCAGGGGCCCAAGGGAGAAGGCAAGAACAGATGACAGACCTCAGCAGCAGGTGATGCAATAGCTGGGCTTCCCAGCGGGTGAGGCAGGCAGGACCCAAGGACTCTGGGATGCACTGGGGTTCATGGGCAGCAACCACGTCTTGGAGAGGACACAGGTTGGCAACAAGAGGAACGCAGGGTCAAGGGTCAAGGCGGAAGATGAGTTACAACAGCTGAGGAAAGTACATAGAGGCTCTGGAGTGCGGGAGTGAGGCAGGCAGTCCCTTGCTTTGAATTCCAGAAGAGGCAGCTGGTGCTGCTTGAACGCCCTGTGCTCAGGCAGGAGTGGCCCCAGGAGCCAGGGAGGTGCGGAGCCTCCAGGAAAGGAGAAGCAGGCCATGCAAAACGTGGAAACCAGACTCAGTCAGAGAGGAAACACAGATCCGGGGCGGAGATGAAGCCCCGCAGGCAGGAGAGAGGGGGCAGCTGTCGCAAGGCCAGTCATCACCTAAGAATCACTCAAAGAGCCGTGGCCTTGACAGTGTCTCCCTGGTTCCCGTCCTTTCTGTTCTGGTTCTTCCATTAACACGGCCAGCTGTGATCTTCAAAACACGGACCTGAAGCTGCGCTTGCCTAGCTCCTTTAGGATAAAATCCAACCTCCTCAATTTGACCTCTAGAGTCTTCCACAACCTGCTCCTGACTCACCATTCCACCCAGCAAGGCCCACCAGACCTGCCGTGCTTGCCACGCCTGCCATGCCTGCTCTCAACCCACTCCAGACGGACTGGCTGTCCATCACCCTGGCTCTCTGTCCTCCCCTTGACGCCTCGATGGGCTCCCACCGCCGCCCACAGCACCACCTCCCTCCAAGGCCCCTTCCTCCTGCTGAGAGAGATGGAGAAGCAGAGTGGAAAGGTTTGCATTGCGCTGACGGCATGAGGAGGGCCTCGCCTCTGCAGGACCCACCAGCCAATCTGAGATCAAGCTGTCCTGGCATAAAAGCAAGACCAAAACCTATTCATTCTATGACCATTTTAAAGAATAAAATTAGGTCGCACACTCAAGAAAAAGGGCATGAATATAGTGTCCATGCGGATTATATAAATCGCCTCGACGTACAGCAAAGCAGGTGTCCACAAGCAGAAATGACTTTATCCTAGATTGAACCTGAACCCAATATGCAAGCAATAACATTAAACATTAATACAAATTTTGCCTGCCCTCTCTGCAGTTCTCTCAGTGAAAATATTCTGTGGTCAGCAGAGCCACTTAGAACTTGCCACTGCCCTCTGATCTGCCATTCAAAACTGGCATCGTCCTGTTAAAAGCAGCCATTGCAGCATCTACGTATTTAAAGTCTTGAAAGCCTCCCTGGGGGCTCTAATCGTAACCATGTAGAGAAGAAAACGCTGTTAGAGCTGATCTCTCTCCTCACCCTCCCGGTCTTCCCCTACCCAGTGCCTCCCTCAACATCATCATCACCTTCCTCGTCACGGAGGGTTGGAAGAGCAGAATATTTGCACACAGAAGGGCTGAGGGGGCGTCTCCCTACCATCGTGCAGGTGCCTGGATTTATGGTTTGACCATATGGGCATGAACCTTGGATGCTGGACCCAGTGGCAAATGCACCCTCTTCTGCCCCACTGCCCCCCCACCCAGCCCACCTGCCTGTGAACTTAGTGCCTGGGTGTGTTTAGCATCAGGGATGACAACCAGATGTAGGCAGGCAGAGCATAAGCTGTGGATTTCAAGGTGTTTTTCATCCGCAGGGACTGCGATGGGCAGAGAACATGCAGAATGGCAAAAAGCAATCATCCAGTCCACTATCAATTTCTTAAAGGTTTACCCTAAACCTATAACATGGTTTCTGAAAATACCCTTTTCACTTTCCCCTCCTACTTACCCATATCGATGACGACCCACATCCCGGATGAGCCTCTCGGAGAGGTAGGCGCCGATCCGGTCTAGCTTTTCTGGAGCCGAGAGGGCGTAGAAGGTCAACTTCTCCATGTTGGTCTTCACCAGGCCGTCCTGCAAAAGACAGACCGTTCCTGCTCTCGGCGGCCCTACCGTGGCCGGCAGAGTTCAAGTCTCAAGGTAAAATTCGTTCCGTTTCATCAACATTAGGCAGAGTGCCACTAAGCATGTGACAGGCAGCATGCAGATTTCAGGGACAGAGAGAGGATTAAGATATAGTTCTTGCCATCCAGGAACTCACAACTTAGCCCAAAGTGTGTTGGCTAGAACTAAAACTAGTGCTATAAATGTGTATGTGTGTGTGTGTGTATGTGCGCGCGCGCATACTTGTATGTACACAAATGTGTGTATATACATGAAAGCATATATGTGCACGTGTGTATAAGTTATGTGTATACACACATATGGGTGTGTGTGTATGAAGGCTTCATTGAAAGTGACTCAGAAGTAAACGTGTTGGATATCCAGCACCAAGATATGAACAGGAAGGAGAAGGCAGCTCTGTAACTCATAGGAGATTCTCCAGGGGGCTCTGGAAATGTGACCCCCGCCCCGCTGCCCATCACGAAGAGGTCACTGAATCCCAGAGAGCAAGTCAAGTACATCCGATTCTGACGTTCCTGAAAGCACACATTGTGGGATGCAGCCGGCCGGGGGTGGGGGCTTGGAAGCCAAGAAGCCCGGTGCCCTGTGTGCACATCCCAACACCTGGCAGACACCAGGGGGAGCCGGGAGAAGACATGGGCTCCTGAGCCGAAACCCCAGACGGGAAGTGCTCGCACTGAACACAGGAACAGTCCCGGCAAGAGAGTCGGCAGCTCAAGGAACTATCACCCAGAGACATGAGTGCGAAGGATGTCTCAGGTCAGCCATGGCCCAAAGCAGGCCAAGCCCACTCCAGAGCCCTGGGCTCAGAGAGACCTAAATCCCTCCGCCTTCAGCCCCTCCCGCCCCCACGGCTCCGCCGAGGGGCCCAGGAGCAAGGGGCCCTGGAGGCCTGCTCCCCTCCCAGCAGCCCAGAGATGGAGAGAGGCAGCAAGTGCCGGCCGGAGCAGTGACGCACCTCGGGATCCTCAGGGAAGATGTTGTCAACCAGCCTTTTGTACCTGGGGCGCAGGGCGCCACAGCAGCCGCACACACCTGGAGGGGCAGAGAGCAACTCGTGAGCACAGCCTCCGGGTCAGGCCCAGGGGACCGGGACCAGGCCAGGGTGGCCTGTGAGGAACCAAACCCAAGATGGACACAGAAAGGTCCCTCCCCTAGAGCGCAGGGCCTCATCCTTCCGGGGCGGGCATCGCCCACTACTCCCCCACCTGCCATTTGCCTCTCTGGTTCCCTGCCTTTTGCTGGGGGTCAGGCGCCGTGTCCTAGGCGAGGCGATGGCAGCAGCCCAGCACCTGCTCACGGTGCCAGGCCACCAGGGAGCATTTGAGGGGCGAGGCTTTGGGATGGGAGCGTACATACCGGTCAGGTGCTGCCCCCACATACTGCACGGTTATGTGTACACACACACACACACACACACACACACACACACACACACACCACACACACACACACACACACACACACACACACACACACACACACACACACACACACACACTCACACACACACTCACACACACTCACACACACACACACACTCACACTCTATAAGGCTGCCTCCTCAGCTCGGGAATCTTCTCCCGTGTCAGGAACATGGTCAGCTGGGAGACACGGCCGCTCCCCCTCCGCTGCCCCCTTGTTTGCTCCCCACTTCTTTCATCCTCTGCCCCTCAATTTCCTCCCCCACTCTCTCTCCTGAGGCCATTTCCAACAGACAGTTGTGTGAAACTCTGATACGTTAACACTACCATTCATTATTAAGACTTGAAAATGCCTCTTCCCGGCAGCTTGTCCATGGTGTTTGAAAACTGGGGTTTGAGAGTAGGGGAGGGCCTCCGGGGCGGCCAGTCGGGGTTCTTGATGCCAGCCCCGCCCCCTCCCCCACCACCACGCTGTGGCCCAAGGAAAAACGGTGACAGGTTTTAGAACGCCGAGTCTATTCCATTAGGAGACAGATTTGTCTTTGGTGCTGTGAAGTAATGGCGTTAGGAAATCAATGACAACAAAGCAAACCTTGGGGAAAGCACTCCATTTTAGGTCCCACCGGAAAGGGTTCTCAATTGGTGAAGAAAGCGGAGCCTCTGGGAACCAGGGCTCCGTAACCTTCCTCCCTCCCAGGGCCCTCCCAGGGGCGCCTGGCACCCCTCCCACACCCCTCCCCGCGCTGGGGGAGGAAAGAGGAGAGCAGGGCCGGGCCTGGGAAAGTCTCCTCCCCAAACAATTGCCCCCCACTTCCACCAATTAACACTAAATTCTGCTCATACAAACTCTCTGCTTGAAATGCAAATGTGCCCTGGAAGGGTCAGGCCTAAGGGCTTTTCAGAAAAGAATAAAGTGCTTCTGTGGGAATTGCTTTAATCACACAAGGAGCTTTACCCAGTGGAGAACAGGCTCTGGGAGCTGTGACTGGGAGGGGTGGGGTGGGGGTGGGGGCCGAGCAGTGCCAGGAGGAGGAAGGAGAGGGGACCGGGCTGTAGGGGTGATTTGGATATGAGCGGACGGGCTGTCCTGGGGGAAGCTTCGGGGCACCCCCAGAGGGCAGGATATCAGAGAGCTGGTTTGTGGCACCCCTCTCCCCACCATAGGGCTAGCTATGAGCCCCAGCCTCCTCGGGGCCAGGCACAGGGAGGGTGGCAAGCCCAGGCCCCCGGGTTCAGTCTTGCCGGGTTCAGCCCCTCATCTCCTGCCGGCCCGGCCCAGAGAAGTTGTGAGGGCTCCCGCTGGCTGGCACCGGGTTATTTCTCGAGATGGGACAGCTCCTGAAGGTCACGTTCCCCCTCTTGTGCCTCAAAGCCCAGGAGTGACACCTGCCTTCCTCCCGAGGGGGGCTGCTGTCAGATGCTTCTAACCCAGATGTCCCAGCAGCCCCCCCTCCCTCCTCCCCACCCCTCAGACAGGGACGGTGCCCTCCGCGCTTTTAGGGTGTGAGCAGATAGAGAATGAAGTTAGGACTTAGAATACCCCTGTCAGTCCCTTCCTCAGACCTTCCGGAAGGGCCCAGGAGCCGGGCTGCCCCGAGAGGCCCGGCTCTCGGTTGTCGGAAACCCAGACTTGGAGAGCACAAGCCCCCTGTGGGCACCAGGGCAGAAGCCTCCGTGCAGGGGGTCGTGGGGGCGGTGGGGCTCTAGGCTGTCGCCTTGCCGTCTGATCTGTCCCACGCAGGAAAGGGACCGTCATATAATGAAAGTGATTTGGGGGCCTCGGCCAGAGGCCAGGCCATAGTGAGCAGCGCTCCACACGTAGGGCGGTCATCAGAGCCTAACACGGCAGGTAAAGGCCTCTCTCCCATAGGCAACGAGCTGGCAGAGCTGGGACAGGAGCCCGCCTCTGGTGCCACCGCAGCTCAGGAGGTGAGGGGAACCCACAGGCACCCCTAGAAGCGTCCATCCCGAAGGTGAATTCAGAGTAGCTACAACAAGGCCATGGGGGGGGTGGGGGTGGGGGGTGGGGGAGACAAAGAATAGAAGGCATTGAGAAGTAACTGGACACAGTTCATGACCAAATATTAAGGGATACATTTGATATATTGCTTTCATCTTGCTTCTGATGGTATTTATTCTTTAAAACAATTTTTAAATCCTCACCTGAAGATTTTTTAAAATTGATTTTTTGTTTGTTTGTTAATCCTCATCGAGAATATTTTTCCACTGAGTTTTAGAGAGAGTAGAAGGGAGGGGGAGAGACACAGAGAGAGAAACGTTGATGTGAGAGCGCATGAGCCCTGAACGGGACCATGGATCGCGCCTGCAACCTAGGTACATGCCCTTGACCGGAATCAAACCGGGGACCCTTCAGTCCGCAGGCCAATGCTCTACCCACTGAGCAAAACTGGCTACGGCTAAAATTGATTTTTTTAGAGAGAGGGAGGGAGAAACATCAATCGGTTGCCCCCACCAGGGATCAAACCTGCAACCACATACAGGATGGCACTCCAACCAACTGAGCCATCCAGCCAGGGCTGGTGGTGTTTATTCTTAATGTCAGCACAAAGACGCATGTGGAGCTGTAACTCACAGCCACGTGCCTACAAAAAAAAAACCCGTTAAATTCTGAGTCCTTTTATTTCTGAGAGAGCGCTCTCTGCCTTCTCTTACTCTCTGGGGATCACATCTGGCCGATCCGAACACGGGACATCCACGAAAGTCAGTTTACTAAGGATCCTCTTCTGTCACTAACACGTTAATACCCATTTTAAGTTCGGGCGGGAAACGTGATATGGCCGACTTGACTGGTATGTCTCTGCTCTGGTTGCCGAAAAATCACACCAGCGGGGATTCACAGGGTGCCCGATGGCAAGATTCCAGCGCCTTCCTCCAACTTTAAACTCTAATTGTGGCTGGACGTGCCTGCCCGCCCTGCCCTCTCCTGTGGTTCACCCGCCCCAGCCGCACCTGCTCTGGGCCCTGGCACTTAATATTCCCCCTGGAATGTTCTTTCCTCCATCCTCCCGGCTCCCGCTCAGTACCCTGTGGAGCCTGCCCAGATGTCAGCTCACTGTGGAGAACTTCCCGACCTCCTTTAATGTGCTACCCCTCGTCCATTCCTCTTCACAACTTTTCACTGACTGACTCGCTTCATGTCTCCTCCCCTAGAAGGGGTTTCTGAGGCCTCCAGTTCTTGCAAGGCAGTCCTCCCAGGAGGACCTGGGGCAACGCTCCTGTCGGAGACCCGTTGGCTCCAGGGCCTGAGTCCTGCCCAGCCGTCTTCCGGGGTGGCCATCACCCTGGGCTCTGGAGGCTGGGCTCACTGGGGCCCATCTCTCTCCAGGACTGGCTGGTGGGTAGCATGGGGTCAGGGTTCCTTCTGCCCTGCCCCTGCCACGTGCTGGCTCCCTGCCCATGTGCTCCAGGTTCGGCCTGTGTTTGCAGCCCTGACCGCTCACCAGAATCACCCTCGCATCTCTGACAAGGAGCCTGAGGTGCTCCACTGGGATCCTGGTGCGCAGCCAGGGCGAGAAGCACTGGCCCCGCGCTTTGCCTGCGCAGCATGTGACACCCAGCATGTGACAGCGGATCTCACAGCGGCTGGCGGCTCCATGGGCTCTGGGCCTCTCATCTGGCCGCCAGCAGCATCTGTCTCCCCACGACTCTCAGGTACTGCAGCCCCGTTTCTCTTTTGCTCTGCTTGCTTGATCCTATTACCTCAACTAAGCTCTAGGCTGAGCACTTGACAAATACTTCAGATGACACTCATAAGAACCAGGAAGGTGTTATACTTGTTCTCATGTCACAGATAAAGCAGCAGGATCAGAGAGGTCTAGTGCCCTGACCAAGGTCACACAGCACATACCTCTCTGCCATGATTCTCTCTCCCCGAATTCTCCCACACTTTCCCCAAAGTATAACCTCAACAACTTCGTAGGTCCATCCTGTGCTCTCCTTTTCCACAGTCACCGTCACTAGGCATCTCCTGGACACCTGAGATCCAGTCCTTGCAAATGCCACTTGGCCAGTCTCCGTGCTTTAATTCTTTGTATATGTAGTTTTTTTAAAAAAAAAATTTAATTTTATTGATTTTGTACAGAGAGGAAGGGAGAAGGATAGAGAGTTAGAAACATCGATGAGAGAGAAACATAGGTCAGCTGCCTCCTGCACACCCCCTACTGGGGATGTGCCCGCAACCAAGGTATTTGCCCTTGACCAGAATCGAACCTGGGACCTTTCAGTCCACAGGCTGACGCTCCATCCACTAAGCCAAACCAGTTAGGGCTGTATATGTGTTAAGGCAAATCTTTGCTTGATTCGCTTTGCTTCACAGTCAAGCAGTGAAGGCGGCTTGCCATTATGTTAAATGTCAGCCCTTCAACTTAGTATTCAACCAGGGATGCCCCGTAAAGGTGGAGGGTGGAGGGGTTGTGTCCTTCCTCTGCTGTAGCTGGGCCTCTCGCTGTGCTGTCTCCTGGAGCAGCCCTTGTCCGGCAGCCAGAAGCCACATCAGAGCCCAGTGTGAGGAGGGCTGGGAGGCGGGAGGAGGAGCGGACTGGGGGAGCCCTCCAGCCCTGGAGAGCCAGGCGCTGCGATGACATGTGTTCC